CGTCTGAAGAGGTTGTTTGTCCCACGCGAGTGAAATTCAGCGACGGTCAGCGGATAAGTTATCGCACTGAGTGGTTTGTGTTGACTCATCACTTGGCCTAAAATGGCATTCTGGACTTTTTCCGGAGAAAATATATCCAGCTCCCCCGGGATTACAACAGCCACGGGGGCGGACTCCATTCTCGTTTCTCACGAAAAGATGTCTGTCGGGAAACCACTACTGGAGTTGTCGCTCGCAACACCTCGACCCGTCTGCTTTCGAGCACCACCTTTCTTCTTCTGAGCCGTTTTAGTCGTTCGCTTGGATTTTATAGCCGTCTTGTTCTTCTTCTTCTTAGCACCAGGCTTCGCTCGCGGTTTGCTAGCAGGTTGTTTCCGGGGACGCTTCGTCGCACCGCGCCCTCCGAGAGCCGTACGAGCTCGTCTCTTGAGGTTTTGGCCAGCCTCCTGCAGCCGGGTGGCCGCGGCATCTCGCACGTATCGAAAAGAGTTGGTGCGACCGGGTTGTGTCAGATCGCGATAAAGTCCAAAGCCCGCGTTGGCTAGTTCCTCGGCCACAGCTCGGCTCCCCTTGGCGATGAGGGGTGTGGCGATGTTGGTGACGTATTTGCCACTGAGTCCGCAACAGAAAGCTCCTCGCCCGTTCTGCCGAATGTAGCTGGCCTGGTACACGGGCCCCACATCGAGCTTATTGCCCTCCACGGCGCCCATCCCCACCTGCCTAGCGAAATAGTCTTCATACGCCTGCTGCATTTTGTATACTGAGGGGTACCCAGGGTGTGCAAGTCGTATATATCTCAAATATTTAAGGGGGGTAGGCAAAGAGATGAGACGGTTTTAAATCTTCTCACGGATGTCGAGCACAACGATGGACGGGTGCTCTCCGTCGGGGAATGAATATCGCTCACCAGTTTTTGTACGGAAAGAAATAACGATGCTGGAGATATTTTGCTTTTCTATCGGAAAGTAACAAATCTTGTTAAACTGATAATGACCAAACGGGTTGAAAGGCGTAAGGACGCGAAGCAAACGCGATTCCGAATCGCTAACTAGCTGCGGCTTTATAACGTCACAGTA